TATACATTTAATAATCAGATGTTACGCAACAAGTGCGAATTTCGTTCAAAATCATTAATTATTTATTCGTGAAAATGTATTATTATATTACCCTAAATATATCGCAAAATGTTTATATTATTACCCTAAAGAATTGTTAAATTTTAAATTATTAAAAATTAAATTTAAAATAGAAATTAAAATAATAAGATTCGAAATTAAAATAATATTTCTGCAGCCATGGGTGGGGACTCCTCACTGAACGCGTTGAGTGAAGGCTCCCCGCGCGTCCCTCGACATTGCGCGAGAGAGAAAGAAGACTGTATGTAACGGCGAAGCGTTCTCTCTCAGACACACTGTTCTCGCGGAGTACTGCGTTCTCTCTCTGTCGCATGGTTTTCTCCCTCGCTCCAATGACTAGTACGCGTCACTCTTACTCTTACGCTGTCGAATGCATAGTGGATGCTTGCTCTCTCGCACTCGTTAGGTATTACGACCATAATACACATTAGTATGGCTGGAGACGTCTATGCTGTACGCTATGGCACTAATACACCTATGTTTCCTTACTCACAGCCTATCTTACCTTGCCCCTCTGTATCTCTCAAGCCTACAAGCTATGCCTGCCATTGCTTTACTATAATGTGCTTTTTAGATCTATATGCAACTGATCAATTCCAGATCAATATTGAGACAATTGATCTCAAAACTGGAACTGCAACAACATTCAAAATACTACAAAATAGATGGAATTTCTTTCTGATTGGAAATGTCCATTATCTTAAATTATATTAACCTTTTATATGAGAGGGTTAATTCTAAAATTTCAAAGATTAAATAAAATATAAAATTATTTAAAAGAATAATTGGAAATAATTTTGTTTCGAAATAACTTTATTATTTCAACACTATTTCACTAAACCGATTTTATTGCAAATTCAGCAAAACTGGCATGGCAACAGGCCCCACCTTCCCTTTCCACCTACAATTGCGAAATTCAAAATCAGCAAAATTTCCCACCAGGTGCCCTAAGCCGACCTGTAGAGGCATCTCCAGCCCCTAAATTTTTGTTCAGTACGGTTTCCGCGAGCATCGAAGTTCCAACTCTGTTTGGAACTGCCCGGATTAAAAAGCCTAAGCGCTCCCGTCCGGTACCAAGGACCCGTTTTGATTCGTGTGCTTACACGAATAATTTCGGTCGGACGTAAAGTAAAACGCCAACTTACTCCGAAGTCCACGGAGGCCGGTTAAGAGTCAATTCAAGTGAAGAGTTTTTAAATCTAATTAATTTTCTTTTTCTAAATTTTTGTCGAAAGACCAGCCGGGTGCGGAGTGCCCGCGTCTGCTCTTGCAATTGACGGCTTAGCGAATTAGAGTAAGAGAGAGTGGATTTGTCTGTCCCTGTTAAAAAGATTGTTCGCGCAATAAAAGAACATACGGCAACCCGCGAATGCGCCACTCGAGTGATTGTGTATGGACGATTTTTCAAAATTTATGTTTTTGCCCGTCGAGAAGAAATTGTCGACGGTAGAATAAGGAAGCGGAACGGTAAGTACTCAGTATCGTTCCGGGGTAATTTTGTAACTACATCCCTCTTCCCTCCCTCCTTTCTTGTAAGAGAGAGTGGAATACATTTGTCAGTATTATTTTTGAATGATAAAATAAAATTAATAATTCTTTTAATTCTTTCTTCTCTTTATTTTCTGTTCCCTGTTTCTAATAGTAACAAGTATAAAAGGAAGTCGTGGTATATTTTCCTATCTTATCCTAGAAAATATCAGCAATTAGAACGAAACGAACCCACAAGTAAAAACAAGGCCCTTCAGGCTTTGGCAGTTTGGACCTCCGAGAACCTCTGAAATTTGGGCCATCTCAAAAGCCCGATGTATTGTTCTAATTATTTTTAACAATAATTATTTCAAAACAAATAATTTCTTCGGTTCGTAACAAACGCGATCGTTAACATTTAAGAAAGTTTAAATTAATTTTGATTTTGATTTTTCATAACTTTCCGACATCAAATTTGGAATAAAACTCATGGATTCTGACACATTTTTTTATGCTCTTTCGATTGGTAATGATTAAAATTTGAACAAACTTTAATAAGCACCCGTTAACGCGATCGTTAACATTTAAGAAAGTTTAAATTAATTTTGATTTTGATTTTTCATAACTTTCCGACATCAAATTTGGAATAAAACTCATGGATTCTGACACATTTTTTTATGCTCTTTCGATTGGTAATGATTAAAATTTGAACAAACTTTAATAAGCACCCGTTAACGCGATCGTTAACGTTTAAGAAGCCATAACTTCTTCAATATTTTGATTTTTCATATCTTTCCGACATCAAATTTGGAATAAAACTCATGGATTCCGACACATTTTTTTATGCTCTTTCCATTGGTAATGATTAAAATTTGAACAAACTTTAATTAACACCCGTTAACGCGATCGTTAACGTTTAAGAAGCCATAACTTCTTCAATATTTTGATTTTTCATATCTTTCCGACATCAAATTTGGAATAAAACTCATGGATTCCGACACATTTTTTTATGCTCTTTCGATTGGTAATGATTAAAATTTGAACAAACTTTAATAAGCACCCGTTAACGCGATCGTTAACGTTTAAGAAGCCATAACTTCTTCAATATTTTGATTTTTCATATCTTTCCGACATCAAATTTGGAATAAAACTCATGGATTCCGACACACTTTTTTATGCTCTTTCCATTGGTAATGATTAAAATTTGAACAAACTTTAATTAACACCCGTTAACGCGATCGTTAACGTTTAAGAAGCCATAACTTCTTCAATATTTTGATTTTTCATATCTTTCCGACATCAAATTTGGAATAAAACTCATGGATTCCGACACATTTTTTTATGCTCTTTCGATTGGTAATGATTAAAATTTGAACAAACTTTAATAAGCACCCGTTAACGCGATCGTTAACATTTAAGAAAGTTTAAATTAATTTTGATTTTGATTTTTCATAACTTTCCGACATCAAATTTGGAATAAAACTCATGGATTCTGACACATTTTTTTATGCTCTTTCGATTGGTAATGATTAAAATTTGAACAAACTTTAATATGCACCCGTTAACGCGATCGTTAACGTTTAAGAAGCCATAACTTCTTCAATATTTTGATTTTTCATATCTTTCCGACATCAAATTTGGAATAAAACTCATGGATTCCGACACATTTTTTTATGCTCTTTCCATTGGTAATGATTAAAATTTGAACAAACTTTAATTAACACCCGTTAACGCGATCGTTAACGTTTAAGAAGCCATAACTTCTTCAATATTTTGATTTTTCATATCTTTCCGACATCAAATTTGGAATAAAACTCATGGATTCTGACACATTTTTTTATGCTCTTTCGATTGGTAATGATTAAAATTTGAACAAACTTTAATAAGCACCCGTGAACGCGATCGTTAACGTTTAAGAAGCCATAACTTCTTCAATATTTTGATTTTTCATATCTTTCCGACATCAAATTTGGAATAAAACTCATGGATTCCGACACATTTTTTTATGCTCTTTCGATTGGTAATGATTAAAATTTGAACAAACTTTAATAAGCACCCGTTATCGCGATCGTTAACATGATTAAAATTTGAACAAACTTTAATAAGCACCCGTTAACGCGATCGTTAACGTTTAAGAAGCCATAACTTCTTCAATATTTTGATTTTTCATATCTTTCCGACATCAAATTTGGAATAAAACTCATGGATTCCGACACATTTTTTCATGCTCTTTCGATTGGTAATGATTAAAATTTGAACAAACTTTAATAAATTGGTTTTTGTAACCGTTAAACAATTAACGTTATGTTCTTCAGCTCAATGAAAAGATAACAAACTCAAAAAAGTATAAAATCTTTCTTTAAAAAAAGTCATTTAATTATTTTATGTACCAATTAAGGCCAGGTCCAAGTGAGGCAGCGCCATCTACATTGAAACTAAAATTTTGGAAAATTTTCAACAGCCTTTACTTGAAAACAAGAAGGTAAAATGCTTTTTCCTTTATGGATAATTGATTATTGGCAAGATATACACCAGCTAAAACTTTTTTTGAGTTAAAATAATAAAAAAAATTTCATGTCAGTAAATTAAATATTAGCACTTTTTTCACAAAAACTGTAACAGTACTTTCTCAGAAATTACAATCAAAAATGCAATTTCCATTTGGAAAATTAATAAACGCTAAAAATACACGACCTAAGATTTACCAATCACGAAAATAACACAAAAAAAGTATTTAAACATGACATACTTTACTCATTATGACAGCCGTTTGGCAGGTTATATATGTCACCAGACGTTTCGCAGTTTTGCCGAAAGGAGGAGATTGGCGCTGTTGCTAACCACCTGAAATACATAATCTACCAAACGGCTGTCACAATCAGTAAAGCAGTATCAATATGTTAAATATTTAATAAAATTTTTTTTTGTTATTTTCGTGATTGGTAAATCTTAGGTCGTGTATTTTTTAGCGTTTATTAATTTTCCAAATGGAAATTGCATTTTTGATTGTAATTTCTGAGAAAGTACTGTTACAGTTTTTGTGAAAAAAGTGCTCATATTTAATTTATTGACATGAAATTTTTTTTATTATTTTAACTCAAAAAAAGTTTTAGCTGGTGTATATCTTGCCAATAATCAATTATCCATAAAGGAAAAAGCATTTTAACATCTTGTTTTCAAGAAAAGGCTGTTGAAAATTTTCCAAAATTTTAGTTTCAATGTAGATGGCGCTGCCTCACTTGGACCTGGCCTTAAAAGATATAACTAATACCTATATTCTTTAACATTTTAAATACATGTATGAATAAAAGACGAATTTTAAAATTAATTTTGTATCTGTTAACCCAAAAAAGTTTGTATTAACTGGGGAGCTTTTTTCCTCGTTAACTCGAAATTTCGGTTAACACAAACATCTCTCTGCCCCCCCCTACGTATTTGTGGTATAACGAGGTTTTACTGTAATGTATTCTTACCTTATAAACCCGTGTAGAAATCGCCAAGAAATTCCTGGAGTGATTATTCTGAAAAAAAAAATTATTTGGTTCATTAGCCGAAAGTTTTGAACGTTCATATGAACGAAATATTTTTTTCAATCTATAAATTATTAAAAATTATGATGACTATGTTAAAAAAACAGTAAATGGAATAATTATTAAATTAATAACTTCTTTTTAGATATTTTGAACAATATTTTGTTAATAAAATTCGTACTTAAAGAAGTTGCAAAAAAAAATTTCGTTCATATGAACGTTCAAAACTTTTGGCTCATTTTGGTTCAATTAAAATTCAAATCATTTGAAAATTATTTACAAGGATCAATTTTTTTTTTACTCAACTCAGGTGGAAAAGTTCCCAGTAGAGCCCACTTGGGGAGCGTTCACAAATTACGTAACGTTTTTTTTTTAATTTTGACCCCCCCTCCCCATGTAACACGTTATTGCATACATTAGCGCCATTTTTTCTGCTGTCCGTAACAAAGTGCTTGACCCCCCACCCCCAAAAAATGTTACGTAATTTTTGAACGCTCCCTTGGAAAGATTCCCCGGAAAGTGCCCCCTGGAGGTTCTATCAGAATTCCGCCGGAACTTCCAACGTAATTCCGTCGGAATTCCATCGGAGTTCTAAAGAATTTCCGATGGGATTCAGACGGAGTTCCGACGGAATTAGGACTCTAAAAATTTTGAATAAAATTAATCGGAATTTCGTCGGAACTGATAATGGGAATTATAATATAATAATTATTATGTGCGGTTTCCAGCCGGTTGTAAACTCCGACATTCGTCCGACTTTTCCGCCTGGGTAGGGATTCTAATATTCTACTTTGAATAAATTTAACGGTCAGAGCATTAATTTTTCATAGTTTGCCCAAAAATTTTCACAGTTCTTTTTGATTTAAAGAAAAAAAGTATATTTAAAAAAAATCGTCCCAATACCCGATTTTTATTTTAGTTAAAATTAATTCAGTAGATGGTACAGAAACATTTTTTTCCAAGATTTGGAAATGAAATGTGTCAAAGGCATTTAAAATGTTTCACGACCACCGTGGGAACTCTTCATTTATTGAATACTTATTTATATATAATAATTTTTAATGAAAATAATCAAAATCAAATATTTTATTCATTAAATTCCGTTTTATTGCACTGTTCCGTGACTTTTTGAAACATTTTTCTTATTTTATAGGAAATTTTAATACTTTGTTTATTTAAATTAAATGAATTAACGATCTAATATATCTAAATTATAAATTTGTAAAATTTCAAACGTTACAATAGAAGATTTTAAACTTCTTTTTATTATCGTGTGAAACGGGAAATTTTAGTCTTTGAAATGAAAAATTTAGTCTTTGCTAAAGTGTAGTATTAGTCTTACGAACAGATAGTTTTACTCAGAGTGGAACAAATTGGTAAGCTTATTGCGCGTTACTTGCCGCAACTTTATATATATATAAAGACAGTTAAAATGGCAATTTTTTTTCATCTTTTCAATTGTTACTAATGAGATTCTAGTCAACAGACGATTAATTTTCACAAAAGACAATTATTGTTTTACTGTGAAATATATATATAAGTATAAATTATTTAAGTTCATCGACAAAATTCCGCAGTCAGTGTATAAAATGATAGAATCGATAAGGAAAAGAGGAGTTCGAAATTTTTTATTGCTTGAGGAAGAAAATAAAAGACTCATCTTATTGGATTGTTTCAATGGAAGCGCAAAGTCTCTCAAAAGTGGAGAAATATTCAATCGAATTGAAACTTATTCTTCTTTAAAAAATAAAAAAACAAAAAAAAGGAAAAGAAAAAGAAATGCACTTGAAAAGAGCTGATATCTACATTTTCTTTCTTTTATTACACACAAACATAAACAATATCGAGAAATGGGGAAAAAAGAATTTTTTTTTAACTTTAGAAAAGTTAGAGAAAAACAATTTTTTTTATTAATCTCCGTCTTTCTGATAGTTTTAAAACAGTTATCTATAATTAATAAAATTTAATAACTTCTTTCTTTTTGTATAAAGATAAATGTTTTTACAATTTTCAGAGAAAATAGCTGAGGCCTTTCGGTGAAATTGAAAATATTTTTCAGAAATGAAATACTTTAATATATTCAGCAACTGAACGTGATGTGTACCTTCGAAAAATTCCGTTTACGAGTAGATTGAATGTCGCTCACATTTTTATGGAGTGCAAAATTGAACTTCACTATCTGAGAATTCCTTAAGGCTTTTTTGAAACTACAGGTTTGACAATATTCTTCATACACAAGTCACTATAGAAAGAATAATAAATAAATAAAATTCTTTGCTGATTTACATATTAGATTGAAACTATTTATAAAATTAACATTCTGAATTATACTTATTTAGACAAAAAAAACAATTAATTACCATATATTTAAGAGAAGGTATATAGAAATTAAAAAAAAATTTCATCTTCCTAAAAGGAGACAAATCGATGATGAAATTGACATGAGTGATTGGAATTTCCGTACATATTTATATAGTGTTCTTGATATTGACATATGATGAGTTCAAAAATCTATAATATTGGAGAAAATCAGAGAGAAATTCATAACAAATGGAAACCTATTTTTGGTCGCTTTCAATTAATTAATTATTATGATCATAACTGGAATAGTGAAATTTAGAATTAAAATCTTTTTTGTTCGAATAAATTAGAAACTTTTTTTTATAAATTAAAAGAATTTTATTGTATTTATTCTTAATTTTTTCTTTATAAATTTAAAAAGAATAAAGAACATTTGATGTAGTTAATGAAAAATACACGTCAAAGGTACAAAAATCAAGATATATTCATAACTAATTGTAAGAATCAAGAGGCACTCGTAATTGTTTGCAACTTATTCACGAGCATAAAGCAGAAAATATATTCTAATATGTAGCTAAAAAGAGCTTATAATACTATTTTCTCATCGTAATGCATAAGAAGTGGAATAATGGCGATTATAATCCTCTTATTCCTCCTTTAACAATTTCAAAGAAGAAATTCTAACTAATGCCCTATATCTAGGAGAAACTGGTCCGGGCCTTATTAATTTTCCTATAAATTACATTTTAAAGCGCACAGTTTTCCTAAAAGTATCAAATTGAGACCAAAAATTGCATCAAATCTTTGCAACGTTTTGATGCACATAAGTTATATCAAAAAGAGATCGTTTTGTGTATCATTTTTAGAAATGATACACGAAACGGTCTCATTTTTTGATGCAAAAAATTTAATCAATTTATATCAATCATGGCCGAATTGAATCGACTCAAAATTAAACGAATTTTTTCAGATATTTTGGTAATAGTACAATTGCGGAGACCATTTCACTATTTAATTTGAAAATGAAAATAACAGAAAATCAAAGACAATGTGCAATTCGATAATTAAAAAGTGACAGCTTATAAACATAACCTAAAATGCATGAGAAAAAATTTGTCGATAAAATCAATATAGCCGAGCTTTTTAGAAGGTAGATGGCAGCACTCATCTATTTTCTTTCTTTAAATTTTTTCTGAATCGTTTTTATAAAAAGCAAAACTGCCATCTACCTTCTAAAAAGGTCGGCTATATTGATTTTATCGACAAATTTTTTCTCATGCATTTTAGGTTATGTTTATAAGCTGTCACTTTTTAATTATCGAATTGCACATTGTCTTTGATTTTCTGTTATTTTCATTTTCAAATTAAATAGTGAAATGGTCTCCGCAATTGTACTATTACCAAAATATCTGAAAAAAATTCGTTTAATTTTGAGTCGATTCAATTCGGCCATGATTGATATAAATTGATTAAATTTTTTGCATCAAAAAATGAGACCGTTTCGTGTATCATTTCTAAAAATGATACACAAAACGATCTCTTTTTGATATAATTTATGTGCATCAAAACGTTGCAATAGAAAAAGATACAACCAAGTTTACTGTGCGTTCTACTATGATCAAAAAAATTGTTCAATAAGAATAATTAATTAAGAAAATAATTAATCAAACATTTTCAATAAATAATTCATTAGGCTCTCGTCCATTATCTTCAAAAAAAAATTTATCAAAAACTATGCCACAAAAGAGTCGCCTTATTTTGGCTTAATTTTAAAAAATCGAATTCCATAAATTTGGAAATTCAATCAAATAAAAATTCAAACTTCTTAAAATTAGATTTTTTTTGATAATTGGAACTTATATTTTTAATTTGTCTCACTCTGGAAACAATAAATAAAAAATTAATTTTAGTTTGACGACATTTTGAAAAATCGTGACAATTCTATAATAATTTTATTAGTTTATAGCGTATCGTGTAAACAATATCACTAAATGCCACGAACTAATAAAATCATTATTATTATACAAGTGTCATGACTTTTCAAAATGCCGTAAAACTCAGAAGGAAAGCATTTCTGCAATTGGGTGAATTATATTTTTAAATATAAAAAAGTTTTTTTTAAATTTATCATAAAAAGTCTATACTATACTCGTGATTTGGGTGTGACATTTGACTATATCAATTGAATTTTATAGATCATATATTCTTAGTTACATCGATATCAAGAGCATTGTGATATCTTTTCAAAATTTCTAAAAGTTCCCATCAACAAAAAACTTTAATTTTACTTTTTAATTCATTTGTTTGTTCTAAAATTGATTATGCGTCTTTAATTGTTAATTCTCAATTCATGACAAATATAATAATATCTACTTATATTACAAAAAGATATCGCCGCCGCTGTTTCCAGACTCTGAATACAGCAGCATTTCTCCCCTCTCCTCTCCCCTCAACCGAAAAAAGTGACCTAAATTTTGAGGTTATGTTCGTTTCAAGACTCTGAATAGGGCCGCAAGTCCTCCCCTCTTTCCGTATTTCCCGCAAAAAGTGACCTAAATTTTGAGGTTATGTTCGTTTCAAGACTCTGAATATAGCCGCAAGTCCCCCAATCTCCCCCTCCCTTACCCCTACCATCGCCAAAAATAACCTAAATTTTGAGGTTATATTCGTTTCAAGACTCTGAATATAGC